GTAAGCCCTACATGGAGTCTATGAAACTTCTAAATCTATCGACTTTTTAAAATTCAAAAAAATCTTTAAGAATAAGGATTGAATGTAATGTTTTAATAAATTCAAGAACCTTATTTGATGTATGACGGTAGGCTAGGGTGTTAACACTTGACGCTATGCCGCTAATTATTATTAAATATTATGATGATGATTGTTATTGATTGTTAATTATGATGATTGAACCTCGATTAATATAATTTCTTATTTTAAATAATGATCATGAATGATTAAGATTATCTAGAAGAACTCTAAAATATACCCCATATGACTTAATTAGTTTGGGCCTTGCAGATATGATGTAAGGTGGCCTGGGTAAAAAATGTACATACAGGACCTACAAACAAAACTAGAGTATAGCTCATTTGGGGATACCGCCCAAATGACAATGAGTAGTCCGATGTTCAGTTATTTGAGTGTGACCTATAAAGACTTGTAGAATAGGTCCTGATTTTGTGTTCTGCCTTAGACTAAGAATAGTTTAAGTGCTTTGTAATCAATTTGATTTTGCCTTAGACTAGGAATAGTTTAAAAGCAATGTTCTGATTTGGCCTTAGACTAAGAATAATTTAAGAGTATTGTTGACATTATGAATATTGAATAATTGAAATGAATATTATGTGCATGATATCAAATGGTTTGGTTATGAATTGATATTCAATTTATATGGATGTTCGATGCATTAGATATCCTAACTCAGCTTCAACACTGAGCGTGTTGTAAGTTTTATTTGCAACGCGCAGGTAAACAAAATAAAGACTGATGTGATTGATCCTGGCGGCAGAAGGGGACATGAGATGTGTGATGGTTTTGAACTGTTCAATAATTATTTAAAATGAATTAATGATTGTGATGTAAAATTATGTAAGCTTCCGTGAATTTCATGAACGACATCCACACCAAACTACTAAAGTATAACTCATGTCTAAGGGTCCATTGGGAAAGGAGAAAAATGACTTCTAGAAGTCATCTTCCTCCTTTTATAGTGTTTGGCAAGTTTAGAAAATAAGGTCAAAGAAAAATGAAGGCAAGGGTCAATGGAAAATGAGGTATGAAAACATGAATTTGTCTTCAGAATTATTTCTCCATAAGTTATTTTTTGTCTTTTTTTTCTCGCTCCTCTTCACGCATCCAACCTTCTCCTTTCTCCCCATAACAACCACCACCCTCCCTCATCTTCATCTTCACCATCTTCCATCTCCTTCCTCCTCAAGGCAATTGTGCTCCCACATCTTTCTTCGATTTGATTCTTTCTTCAATATTACCTCCCCCTTATTCTCAGTGCCCGATTCCGGCCATGACAAGTCTCCAGCATGTAGCGGGCGGACGGAGAAATCAGGGAATGACAAGCAAAGGCGAATCTTGATCTTAATTAGAGAGTGTGATTCCATATGAGAAATAAGTTTAATTTCAGATTTAAATTTTTTATGGAGTGCAATTTGCATATGTAATTCCAGATTGTTTTGAGTATGAATTGCAATTACGGAGATAAATTACGAATTGGGAAGCTATTTTTTATTTACCCAAATTGCAATTAAAGAATGTATGATTTTCTCATTTTCCCATTTTTATTTCCCACAAATAAATTAAATAGAGCTGGACACTTTTTATACTTTCTCCCAAACATCAGAAAATGAAAATGACTTCTGGAAAATAACTCATTTTCTAGAATTCATTTTCAAAAAGTCATTTTTCATGTTTACAAATAGACCCTAAGTTTCATGCATTTTAAAAAACTTGCTGAATACCTTAAAATTTGTACGTTGATGGGTGCATTCTCACCCATACCCGACCCGGGTCAGGTACCACCAGAACCAACCGGGTGATCAATTAATGGCTAAATACAGGGCAACTGGGACGAATCCAAACTTGACCCGCTGGGTTGCGAACTACCCGGGTGGGTTGGCCCATAAGGCACTACCAGTCAGGGAACACGTCTTGCTGGAGAGATATTCAGATCACCAAGATATCCTTCGATAAACCATCCGGTGCATCGTTGGGACTGGAGCACGTATTGGCAGCCTAACATATTTTGAAGGTTGTGACTTGGAAGCAACTTAGCCAGGCCGGATTCCCCTGCGCCAACGAATATATTCAAGCATCCCAGCCAAGCACCACACGCCAAGAAAGACAATTACAGTGAGAAAGCAGCTATGGATAGAGGACAAATGCTACGAGACAAAGGTTGTCAGGTGGAGCAACCCATCACGTGGCTAGCATGTGGCCAGGCATGGGTGACTGCCACGATGTCCCCTAGCTTCACTATAAATACACTTGTAATCTTCAGTAGAAGGGATCTGAATTCTATCTCTTTACTACATATTGTGTAATTCTTCCCTATACGCTTCTCATACTTGGTAACAATTAGACTATAGGTGTTCCAACCTACAAGTCTTCACTGTCAACCTCCGTTTTTGTGCCATTTCACTCTCTAAACTCAGCAAACCACCCTAAAAACGGTCTAGATTAATTTGCACCATTATACATAGTATTTATTTGTAAAAGTTTGTATTGAATATCTTTAAACTTCAATACTCCCTAAATTTTAAATTACATTGTCAGCTTACCATTTCACATGGTCAAACTTTAATACTTTATTTACATATCTTTGTTATACATTTTATAAAATAGTAGCAATATCACCTCCTATTTATTTCGTAAAGCTTTTTATATTTTTTAAAATATACTCCCTTCATCCCCATTTTTATTACCTTTTTATTTTGTCTCTCCTCTCGATAACTTTTGTTTATTTGTTTGTTTTCATTGATTAATTGATAATATAAAATATCCTTGTCACCTTTTGTTTTGTAAAACTTTTGACGTATTTTTTTAATATGTAATTTTATGTTTATTGATGTACCAATTTGTAAATAAAATAATTTTTAGAATCGTGGAATTCTACACATTGTAATTAATTCTCATTTTGTCAACAAATAATAATGTCATAATATCGTACCTACCCCCTTAACCCCTCTCCTAAACTCCTCCATCCTGGTCCGACCTGAACCAACCCCCAACCTCTTCAATTTACCTCCAAATTTAATGGATATTTGGGTCAAAAAATTTGACACAAAAGTCAACTAAAATAAGTGATGAAATTGAAGAGGTTAGAGGGTGAGTTAGGGCTCGGCCGAGGTAGAGAGATTTACCAGGGGTAAACATTACAAATTTTAGGAACGAAACACCGTAGGTGCTCATATTGGAGTGTTGTCGTTTTATGACAACACCCCTTCTTGTCAAAAGAAAGGGACTTATAATTTTTTTATTTATTTTTAACCCAGAGTTCTAATAAGCTGATTTAAAAATAAATTTAATCAAATATCGTAAATTAAAAGAGACGATTTAAATTGGGATGAAAAAATTGCATTAATAATATTTTTTAAATTTTTTATTGAATGCAGCCAATTAAATTTTTATTGATTTTTCAAAACTATGTAATGAATACACTTGAACTTTTAAACTTGATGAATTTTTAATAAATACTTGTAATTTCAGGAAGAATACAAAAAAAAAGACTAGTAATTTTACGAGGCCACTGGTAATACATGTAACGCCAACCGGCGTTATGATACTTTTGAAGCCCAGGGGGCATTAAACACCGCCCCCCTGGGGCTTCACTGTGGCGTTATCCTTCGAGCGTCATACGTTTGACGCAACTTCTCCCCCTATAACGGCTAATTTAGCTGTTGGAAGCAAAAAAAAAAGAAAAATAATAATATTTTTTTTATAAATTTCAAACTACATCTCCTCCCATTTTATAATTAATTTTTTTAATTTAATGAATGTAATTTTTTAAATTATTGTCGCTTCAATTTCTTTTAATTTAATGAATGCAATTTTTTTAATTATTCTTGTTTCAATATAATTAAATAATAAAATAACTAAATTTTTTTAATTTAGTTTTAGGGCCTGTTTGGGAATAGCGTTAGCGTTTTGAAAAGGCTATCTACGGACAGCGTTTAGCGTTAGCATTTTCAAAGTAATCTGGACCGTTAAAATTTTATCCAAAACGCTAATCTCTAACACTATTCTCAAACAGGCCCTTAGAAGATGTATATTTAAAAATGTAAAAAATGGAGGTTTGAAGCCCCGGGACTTCAAACCCATTTTCACTGAATCTGTGAGGCGTTAAAGCTGACGTAACAGAGAAATTTTGAAGTCTCGGTTTGAAGCCTCGGGACTTCACGGGTATTTCCAGTGCTCTGAAAAATACAAAGATGGAATGTATTTGTTTCTATTTTCGCTTTTCCTAGAATTTAAAAAAACAATTGATCCCTAAATTCGCAGAAAATTACTCGCGGGTGACGCGAGTTTTGTCGAAATAACTTTCAGGTCCCTCTATTTTTAAAAAGACAACCGAGGTCCTTATATTTTGTTGTAATGACTGGGAGGGGATATTTCATCCAATACATCATCCGCAAGTGTTTTTAAATGTATTTTTTTTCCTATTTTTCCAATACCGTTTTTTCCTATTTTGCCATTACCTTGTTTTTTCTTTTTTTAAATTTGTTATTTCATTTGTTTTAATATAATACAAACAATTTTGAATTTTTATACAATTTTATAGAAGAAATTCTAAAATAACATTTTAAAAAATAGTAACAAAATGAAAGAAAAACAAAGAAATAAAAAAAGAGTGACCTAAGATTTATTACCTTAAAACATTTAGAAAAGAATAGGAAAAAATACATTTATTAATGTTTATAGATGAAATATTGGATGAAATGTCCCCTTCCAGTCATTACAACAAAATGTAAGGACATCTGCTGTCTTCTTGAATAGAGGAACCTGAGAGTTATTTCAACAAAACTCGCTTCCCGTCACTAATTTCTGCTAAATTCGGGGGAAAAACAAACAATTCCTCGTCCAAGGATGATACTGCTGTTTCTATCGGACTATCGGAGAATATCATGTGAAAACAATCTCAAATTAAATTAAACTCGCAATTAGTCCGGCCGGAGCCAATTCTTGGGTTCCTGGTTTTCTTCTTTTGTCTCCCCACAAGCACCCTAATTCTCCGCTTCCAGATTATTTCCATCTCACATAGAAGGAAAAAAAGGGAGAGAGAATATAGTTAATTCTTGCTAGATTGTTAGATTGCTTTGAATTTATTCTATTCCTGGAAATTTCGAATCTCCGGCAGAAACAGAATCTACTTTCATCGTTTCTGATCGCGAGAGAGGAAAGATTGCTTCTTTCTGAAATATCAGTGGTGGGTTGGTTAATCTTTGGCCGTTCATGGGCGATTTTAGAGAACCTTCAGAGGGCACGGGGGCGGCGGAGATGTCATCGAACCCACACCCGTCTTCTATAGGGTCCGACAGGTGGTTGAGGGCGGAGAAATTGACCCAGGACATCATTCAGAATGTCCAGCCTACATCTGTGTCTGAGAAGCAGAGGAAATCTCTCATTGATTATGTTCAGAGGTTGCTCAGAGGCTCCCTTCACTGCGAGGTTGTACTTAATTCTGACGCTCACGCATGTATTTTCTGTTCTTTTCTTTTATTTCAGATTGATTGTTATCTTCTCCTTTTTTTATGGTCTATTTTACTTTATTTTCAGTGGGATGTGATGGGAATTTTTGTTTTTCTGCATGGGTACACAACTTTTTTATTGCATAAAGTTTAAAAAACTGATTTTTATTGTTACTTTGTCCTATGTTCCTGAAATTGTTGTGCTCCAAATAATTATCTGATGTTCAAGTATTCTTGAATGAATGGGATTTTTTTAAAGGGTAACTTAAATTGTTAGGTGATGATTTGCAGATAAGAGTTAAGTTAGAAATAATGATTTGATGGAGATTTGATTGAGCTCATTTATGGAAGCTATTTCAGTGTGATGAGCTTTGCTAGAAGTTACTGCCCCTATCCTAAATATCTGCTGGTTTAAATAAAAGACACCATTACTATTCTTAGAGTCAAACTATATCTTCTTTATTTGCGTATTTTCATCAACAAATATGACCAAATAATATTGTCATGTCACTCCTTGTTTTGTACGAGTAGAACTTTTGATGTAGTCTTTTTGTTAATTAATTTTATTTTTATTTCTATACCTAATTTTAAATAGATTGAATTGAGAATAAATTCAGTCAACAATAGTAAACCGAACTGTGTCTTTTATTTTGGGATAAAGTAGTATTGTCCAATAGTTATACTCTAAGTTGCACGGAGACGGATACTCATATGTGCACGGGGTTGAGAACACAGAAACACCAACCTTTCTATATTTTACAAAAGGATTTGGGCGTGGGGACATCCCAATTACCCAAAGGGAGACGCTTTGGGGACCGGAAGCACCCCTTGTTTGAATAATACATGCAACATAGATATGCACATTAAATTTTCAAGGTTTTGGAAGTTCAAGTATCCTGTTTATATTGGTAGTATTCTTAAAGATAACTATGGTTGTTAGGTGATTATATCCCAATAGCAATTAAATTTGGGATTAATGATTTGATGGAAATTACAGAACTCAATTATGGAAGTTTTTTTTGTTGATGCTGATCTTTGCATAGAGTTACTGCCTCGATCCAAAATATGCATTGATTTAAAGAATTTTTCGGTTCCAACGTTTTTGTCTTAAAAAAATCTAAGCAAGCATTAATGATTCTTTCTGAGTTTTTCCTCTAAAGTATAAATAAATACCATTTATTAATATAAGGATATAAATTTCATTTATATATTAGTTTATGAATTTATCAAATATTTTAATATGTACTCCCTCCCTCCTAAAATGAAGTTTGCACTGACTTCATGAACTTAAAGAAAAGTGTTGAAAAATGAAAAGTGAAAGATATTTGGTGAAAAGTGAAAGATGTGGTTGATATTTATTTAGAGGAAAAGAGAAACTATAAGAGCCATATATTCATTTCAGGAAAGTGAAAAAGTGTCAACTTCATTTTGGACATCCAAAAAGGAAAATGTTAACTTCATTTTGGGACAGAGGGAGCATATTATTTCTGTGGAATATTACTCTGAAGTACTGAATTGTAGCCTGGAAACATGACATCACTCCAAAGATGTCATCTTGGTTATGCCATTAGAAGACATAGACCTAGACTCGTGTCCTATATATAACTTCTAATCCTTTGTTGATATAAGTAGAAACTTTTGTTTCTTCTGTATTTATCACATGGTGCTAAAATGAAAATTACAGTGCGAATTGTTCCTTTTCTAGCTTGTATAGTTCCATTTCTGACTAGTATTTTCAGTGGTAGTGGTCCAAACCTCATCTTCTCATGACGAGCCTGTCTGTATATTTTAAAGTGTGGTTTGGCCAAAGTGTTTTGTGGCCTAGCCAATTACCCAATTCTTGGTTCTATTTTAGTATCTTGGTACCAATGCTCATTAAGTCCGTTTGTTAATGGCGTCAAAATTAATTTATTCCCAAATATAACCACCTGTATTTGGTTGTGTGACTGTATTATATATTATACATTCATACCCAATACTCTCAGTTGATTATCATTAAATGCCATTTTGGGATTCTATTTGCGAATAATATTTTCTTTCTATTTGTGGGGAGAAGCAACAGTACTCACAAATCTGCTGCGTCAGGACTTGGAAGAAGATTGTGTTATATCATGAGGTTTCTTTACTCACGATTTTATTCACTTTACTGCATCATATTTTGAAAGAGATTTTTTCGGGGTTCTGATAATTAACTATCAAGTTTCCAACATGTCAAAGAGATTAGAACAGAAATGCAATATTTGCAAATGCCAATTCTATGTTCCTGCTGAGCACTCTTCATCTTCTAAGCATTTATTCATGGTTTCATGTATACACAAAGGTAGTTCCCATTTACATCCTAAATCCCAATTAGTTCAAAACAAAAAATGTTGAATATAACCCAAGATTTTCCGAGGCCAAACCGGCAAAACCAACAGTAGACATATCAATGAAGTTATGATCAGTGGCATGCATTAGTGGATGTACATTTGCTCGTCTCTCTGCTCTGATTTTGGAATGTGGATGGACTGTTACTTGAGCACTCTATGTATGATGAGCTTTTTTCCCCAGCTAGTTTTCTATGCCATCTGACAGCTTGCACTGTTTTACATATGCCTATTTATCTTTGTACACTTTGCGAAAAAGACTGGTTCAATATTTGTATTCTAGACGTTGGTATAAAAGTTCTAATAATTGATAGCAGGTATTCCCGTATGGATCTGTTCCTCTAAAAACCTTTCTTCCAGATGGTGACCTTGATTTGACTGCCTTTGGTGGTTCCATGGTGGAGGATGGATTGGCAACCAACATGGTATCCATTCTTGAAAGAGAGAATCAGAACAAGGGTGCAGAATTTGCAATAGAGGATGTCCAACTCATTTCTGCTGAGGTCTGGTTTTGTCTCTACAGTTCCACACTTTATGCTATCTTGTGGCAAGTGTGAAATATTATATTTCCCCTGGTCCATGGATTACTTGAAAACACTTGCAAAATCTGGAATCTCCTTTCATGGTTAAATCAGTTGTCAGTTTAATACCCGAGTATTTTTTTTCAGTCGTGTCAAGCTTGCTTTCTATCATGGTAATTTAGGATATGATTTAGGTTATAAAGAAAAGAAAAGCAAAACTGGCACAACTGTTTTTTATCATCATCCATAACATGCTGTATTGAATTTCTTTGCTCCTTTTTATATATTGGTTGGCTATAGGTTCCAGAGCTAAAAAAATTAGTTTCAAACTTTCAATGTAATCAATTTGAATGAAGGGATCTGTTTTGTTCATGAAAATTATGGAGTATATCCTAATATGCCAAAATTGTTTGTGTCATATAATACATTTAAGATGTGTAATACATGTCCACAAATCTTCTTTTTCTTTCGAATATAGTCATAATTTCATACTCTATTTAATAATTATAATATAGTTCAATCTGAAACAAAACTAGTCCATTGATTTGTGAACTAAAAGATAATGTACTATGCTGTTTCGTTGTGAGTTGTCATGGACGATATGATTGTCTTTGTTATTGTCTTGTTGTTTTTTTAATCAAAATAGCTCTATTACTCATTGTGTACTGGTGCTTGTTTTTCCTTATGACAGGTCAAGCTTGTGAAGTGCATTATACAAAATATTGTTGTTGACATTTCCTTCAATCAAATAGGTGGCCTTTGTTCCTTGTGCTTTCTTGAGAAGGTAGCCCTCAGACACATGCATGATATTGAATTTTGCAGGCACTAGAACTCATTGATATACTTGTGATGAGCGTGATACTTTTTCCTCGATGCACCTATATGCTTCATATTTCTCACATAGCTTAGTACCCTTTTCACCTGTCTTTTAGTCTTTCTTTTTCTTTGTTTCCGGGGGTTGGTGGGTGGTGGTGGTGTTGGGTGGGGGGGGGGGATGTATGCACGTATATGTTTGGAAACTACTAGTATCACGTACGGTTCAAACTTCGACTAAAAACACGTCCATCTAGTGGACTAACCGTTTCTAGTAAATAAATTCGCGTCATAAGATAACTATTTTCGGACCACGAAAATACTTTCGGCATAGGAACCACGAGTAGTACCAGACTAAAGATGAATACGAAACCTCTGTGAATAAAATATGTAGAAAGTGGAATTTCACTCTGCTCTAGATGGTCCTTTAGCGGTGAGTCCTCTTGGATATATGTGTTTTACCTGCCATATGTCATTCACATTTTGTGATCTAATGATTTGGATTTTTGCAATTTCAGGTCCTATACAAATTTTTGGATTATTTTAGTAAGTTTGACTGGGAAAACTATTGCATTACTTTGACTGGCCCAGTCCGTCTATCATCTCTACCTGAAATTGTGGGTAAGTAACATCTCAGGGCAGTGTGTTCTATTTTCTTCCCTTTGTTTCATCTTGATAATTTTATTGGATTTTTGTCTCTTTTTGCAGTTGAGACGCCACAAAATAACGGTGGTGATTTTCTTCTGAGTAATGATTTTATTAGAGACTGTGTCCGCTTGTTTTCAGTCCCTTCAAAAGTTGGCGAAATGAACTCCCGAGCTTTTCAGCAAAAACATCTCAATATTGTCGATCCTCTAAAAGAAAACAACAATCTTGGCCGCAGTGTCAGTAAAGGTACATTCATATTTTATTTCATGTGGAATGGTTTTTGTAGAAGTACGTAAAGGTTTCAAGGAATTATGACATCATCCATTAGCTCATCATATGTAATGGGCTTTTAGACAGCATGAAACAAATAGAAAAAAATCTTTACTTTAGTCCCCTTCTCGTGGCATTCTTGTTATCTCAATTTTTAACAGCTTCGCCTTTCCTCCTTGACTTCTTGTAGTGTGACTTTTGTAGTATCAAGTGATAGTTGGAGCTTAGGACATTGGTTGTGAGCAAACTGCAAATACTCAAAATGTATAGAGTTGTGCTTTTTAGATGAACGGTATCTTTGCAATATCAGTTTCCCTATATTGTGATTCCTAATTTCTTATTCTCTCCACATAGCTGTGAAAAGGCACATCAAAGAAGTTAAGGTGCTCACCTCACATAGTCACATTTTTGGGGCTCTAGGGCCCCTTAAGCGCCTCAGTCACTCACGGTGCCTTGCTCTAGAGCTTTGGACACCTTAATAACTATCACCCCCCTCCCACCCCACATAGATTTTGAGAAGAAAGTAATTTAGAAATGGAAATCCCTAATTTCTCCCTGCCTTGACCCAACATCCCACTTCATCCCAAGGTCCTGTACCATGGTTTTGGGAAGACAGGATAGTGGAGAAATGGATGATTGAAAGAGGTGATAAGTAATATTTTTTAATAGTAGAGCCCCTGATTGAAGAAGGGAATTGATAATTTTAATTTAAAAGTTAATGCATTTTTAAATATTTAATTGCATCAATTGTCAAATCTTGAGCTCCCATCTTAAATGTCTACAATGGAAACTGTGTACAGGAAATTTCTACCGAATACGGAGTGCTTTCACATATGGAGCAAGGAAGCTTGGTAGAATTCTTCTTCAGTCAGAGGATAACATTGTCACTGAGCTTAATAGTTTCTTCTCAAACACTCTGGGTCATCATGGAACTTCACAAACTCTTGACGTTGAAGATCATAGTCCACCAACAGCCGTCAATAGTTTCACTTCAACGCTTCCTGTGTCACCGAAAGATTCATCTGAACAAGAGGCGCTCACTTCTAGAATGAAATCCGGTTCCCTTGCTGAATCCACTGGAAGTAGTGATAATGATTTAACCAGTTCAGCTAGTTCATGTATTGAAAGTAATGCACCCGCAATGTGTAAACCCTTTTTTGCCCCTCATCTCTTCTTTACCAAGGCTGCTTGCAATAGTTTGAAGAAAGATCAAATTTCAGAGACAAAGCCATCAGAGAGTCAAGATGGGAGAGATTCAAAGAAAGACGTTTTGAATGATAAACATGAGGTTTTGACCACTAACACAAACATTCCCGGTCTTGAAAGCCTAAAGCTTCTGAATAGTGGTTTGTCTGATCTTAGTGGGGACTTCGAATATTACTTTAGCTGTTTGCAGTATGGTCAGTGGTGCAATGAACAACAGTCAGGATCACATGCACGCCCGTTAACACCCTCACGGTTTCAGATAAAGTGTTTACCAGATACAGTTTGGCAGCCATCACAATCTACCAAAAGTGGTTTTCCTCAGGTAGGTTATGATGGTTTCATCCCAAGTCATGCGTTCTATACCATGAACCAGCCACTATTAGTACCCGGTTTGGTACTTGGCTTCGAAGAGATGCCGAAGCAACGGGGAACTGGAACATACTTCCCAAATACGGTAATTCCTAATGCCCTAACTGTTGGACCAATCTTGACATTCAGTAATAGTTAGGGGGTTTATTTTGTAATTATGTTGAAGTCTTTATTTGTTAATAATTAGGGTAGAGTCAGTCATAATTTTAGGAGATATATCTCAGATGGATTTGAGATTATCATAGCTTGTAGGAGTAGGAGATGTTATGCTTGGAGAGCAAGGCTGATGATTTAACTTGGTGGACAAGGTTAACTCATCTATAAATAGGGATAGTTTCTCTGTATTTTATGTATTCAAAGTTTTTCAATTAATTGGAGAAGGATTTCCAATAAGTTCTTGTTCTAGATTT